TAATTACCCATTGTTGCCGTCAGTTCGTGGTTACTAGGGTCACGTGAACTCCGCTGTCGTAACATCACCAATGCTTTTGGTTTCAATTGATCTAATAAATTTTCAGTTTAATATGATACCATTTATATTTTTACATTTATGGCATAATGGTACATCTAAAAATGTATTTTAGATAATTTTTATTCTTCATCATCTCCACAACAACCTTCTGAAAACAAATATTCATCTAAAGAAAAAATAAATATTTTACAATAATATAAAGGAACTGTACTACTCCACTGTATAACTGGACAGAATTCCTAGCCTCTACCCTCAACATCAAAGTTAAATAAGAATTATGACAAACGAAAGATCAGAAATGTATAAATATATTATTATATAAATAGTAAGATATTAGTTGTCAAGCATCTATATACTTCAATAGATTCCACCATGATAAATCCAACAATAGACACATTCAAATTCCAACCTAAGATAAATTAATAAATCTAACTGTGGGTACATTAATGAAGACAACAATGGTTAAGTAAATACCACCAACTATGGATACAATAATAATGACAACCATGATACAAGCTTTGGTACATTAATAAAATTAACCGTCTACATATTAATAAATAAAACCATGATACAAAGATATATATATATTTATAAAGCAAACGACGTATACATCAGTAAACCAACCATGGATACGTTATTAAAGTTAATCACTAATAAAGCCTCTATAGTCACCATTTATTTAAATGTCTATTATCCATTAATTAAAGCATAAGAAATTATATCATCTGAAGGCAATTAAAAACCTGTTTCATATAAATATTAGTATTACAAAACATTTTAGTGACGAAAATAATTTTGTTCTTCACGATATTATTTATGAATCTTTCACTGTTATTTGCGGGTTATTATAAATTTCATGTATGATTTGTATTAGTTTGTAATTTCACGCGTTCTTAGAAGATTTTGCTTTATTTGCAAGGAAAGATTATTAGTTGTTGCTACAACCAATTGGTCACTTATTATTTTGTTTGCTGTTTTTAGATATTTCAACGACTCTGGAATTTTGGATCGTGTCCCTACCTTGTTTCTGATAATAGGAGCTATACAAGGGGGTATTTTACTTATTGGACTACTTCTGTACGAGCAATCTCCATCAGAGATAACAGAGGTAAGGTCCTTATATTGCTTGTATGATTTTAATCTACCCGATAAAGTTTAGTTAAAAACTGAATAACTTGTTTTTGTTTTTGCACTTTCCTTTGGAATGTGAACATACACACTCCTCCATGAAGGTTAGAAGACAAACATAGCAGTCGAGAGCCACCTGAGTTAGGTAATCCCTGGTTTGGCATAACACATTGATACTTTGTTAAAAACCTTTTGGTGAATGGCTTCTCATGGTCAATCAAGTCGTAAATAGTATCTCTCTTTGACTCAACATCATTATTGAATTTGTCCACTTGATGATACTTAATTATAGCCATTGCCATTATTATGGTATTCCCTTGTAGAACTTCTTTATTGGTTGGTTCAGTAGTTACTGAATATTAACCCTCTCTTGTGAAAACCTAACTACGGACACCTTGTAAGAGATCTTGAAGAAACCCTAAAGCAAATATTCTCTTCCCATTAGTTACTGTAATTATACACTTTCGCCTCGCTCTCATATCAAACACTTTCTGTCAGACAAATGTTGAGTAAAACATTACCTTTATTTAAAAAACAAATTTCGGTGAGTGGTAGGAGTTATTTTGATAACATCTAAGAATAAAGAGAATGAAACCCTTTTACTTTCCAACACTTTCAGTAGGGGTGCAATTCCACTGTCTTAACTTTACACACAAGAGTAAACATCGAACCTTCTCGGTATCTCAGAAAATAAATTTCATTCTGAACTATCAAGGTGTTACTGCTGTCTATCAGACTTCTCTATGTAAAAATGGGTACTCATTTTTACCATTTCTTCACCTTTCCTTCTGTTTCTAATGCAGGATATTTGATTTATCCCGTGTTGCCATATATTACAAACCTACCAAGATATTTATTTCACCTGCAAGCTATCCAGACATAACAATACTTCCAGTTCTGATTCCTTACCTTTGCCAGTTGTGATAGTGTGGACTACGATTTTCAAAACTGTAATAGAGAAACACAACGTGTGAACTGTACACTTATGTATGTTACTCAAGAACATACCCTTAGTAGAGTGTTAAAAATGTGTACAACATATCAAAATACTTAATAGCATACATCACACTGTGGCACATGAAACAATAAGCTCCTAGTTGCATGTTCCATCTAACTCTGTACTTTCATCAAAGGCTTTTTAACCTTACCTAAAACCTCTTCAGCGCCAAAGATTCAAATCTCTGATATGTTTATCAAAATCTTATTCTCTTGTTAACATATGGCATTTCTGGGCACGCGAAAGCTGCCCAATCAGCCCCTGCCTGGAGTTTTTAAATTACTTTTTTTCAAATGCTATGTGGGAATAAAGATAACAGTTTTCATATTGTACGACTTGTTGTATGGAAATTGCTAGGTCTACCAAAGAATAGTCATTTTCAACAAAAATAACGTACAAAAACATTTTACTAACAGTAATTTAAACATTCCAGACATTTTATTTAACAATGATTTTGCTGAATTCACGTTTAAGCAAAGAAAGTAGTCCTTTGAATGTGACTAATTATTTCATGTTGCTGAAAGAAGATAAGGTCAGTTAGTGTTCCAATATACCCATCCTCATTTCATTAAAGACGTCGTCGATACCCATAAAGATAGCTTTATAGAAAGCAAAATGAACTCCTTCAAAGGATTAATACTTAATCTAGTTCACACTATAATAATTGTTCTTTATTCAGTTTGGTAATATAAATAGCGCCTAAACCACTACTGTGTCTGTCGTATCCAAGCTCATCTGATAAGACCAGGTACTGAGCGTCGTCAATACTGGATATAATGTGGTTGAAATATTGCTAAATATTCTTCTTTACTTTCTTAGAAGTACACTTTATGTGAACATTGTCGAAACATATAAATAATATATATGCGATCGATACATTGTTGAATATCAAGAACTATTCATAGATCCAACATGTGTAAAACGATAACAATAGCTTCTGTAAGGTGTCTGAAATGATCTGGGGTTTGAGTTGATGTAATTAATTATTCTTAATTTAACTTTTATATTCTTTTGTGATAAAAGTAAGCGTTTTATTTAGAAAATAAAAGATGTTACCATAATAAAGAAATGGAAGTTTATCATTGTTCAATTTTTATAGAGTATATATCACAACACAACGAAAAATCGTGTGTCACAGAAACTACATTATGGTCATTTATGAACTTACAAAAGCTATATATATCTTTAAGGAGAAAAAAAATAAAAAATGTCCTGCATCAGCACAAATAGAATTGGATTGTGAATACAAGACCTTTCAAGAAGACTCTTCTATGATGTCAGAAGAAAGTTCAACCAATCAGAAAGTAGAAGAGACACAACCATCATTTCCAAGAGAATTTAGTTTGAAACCAAAAGAAGCTTTGAAAATGAAAGAATTT